GGGGGGGGGGGGGGGGGCTCGGGTGTCTACTGTATCTCGCCTTTTGGCTCTGTCCAGACTGAAAAAAAGAACGGAAATTGACACAAGTGGGTATAACCACCCCTTTCTCGGACAAAAGTGGGTACTCGACAATCCAGCGCGTGCGCACTCCACAGGCGGCTGTTAAGCAGGACCCAATTCGCAGGGAATCCGTCGATTGACTTGTACCTGAATCGGTACCCCTTCGCATGTGGCGTCTGCTGGATACCGGTTCGAATCTCCGTGGGTGCACACTTTTTCTCCTGACTTGGACATTTTCCCATGAACGCAATGTGTGTCAGTCCTGAGGACACCTCTTGGAGTCGATCCTGTAAAGAACCTTGTGACACTTCCATCGAATTACCCATCCTCGCCACAAGAGAATCCCCGTTGAGGGTAAATGCTGTGGATGGAAAGTGTTTAGGAGGACCCGATTCGTAGGGTATCCGTCGATTGACTTTTACCTGAATCGGTACACCTTCGCATAAACGACTCAAAACCCCATTCTGGCACCTGCGCGACACAGCCAGGGACCATACACAGCACGGGCATAGATTTTTTCCCACTTTCAGGTACACCTTTGGCCCTAATACCGCCGATGCGCGCAGGGCCTCACCAGAGTGCCCACTTCTGTGCGACATAGCGGTGGATATACCCACCGGCGTCAACTAATCTTTTCATGTTCAATTGTTACCAATTATGTCTATATTTTGACCCACTTTTGTCCAAATTGTACCCACATCTGTCCACCTACGGACGGCGGAAATCGAGCGGAAATCAACCTCGGACAGAAGTGGGCACTCTGGTGAGGCCCTGCGCGCCTCGGCGGTATTAGGGCCAAAAGGTGTGCCTGAAAGTCGGAAAAAATAGATGCCCGTGCTGTGTATGGTTTCTGGCTGTGTCCCGCAGGTTTCAGGATGGGGTTTTGAGTCGTTTGGGGGGCGCCCATGGAGTGCGCGCGCGCTGTATTTTCGAGTACCCACTTCTGTCCGAGAAAGGGGTGGGTATACCCGCTTTGTCCATTTCCCAAAAAGTAATGTACGACACATGCAGAGAAGCCGAGAATTCATTCATCGCTCGACTCAAAGGAATACATCCATCGGACGTTTGCTTGTCGCCCCCAAGCAGAGCTGGGCAAGCCAAGGGTACGGCCAACGCCACGCGTGTTCTTCCGGATAGAGAAGACAAGAATAATCTACATAAAACCCTCGAATCCTCGAACTTGCACATTCTGTTATGAAAACATCAGCTGGTGCTACAGCGATGCGCCTTACCCTTCCGGCAAGTCGATCTCGTAGTCGCAGTTGAGGTACCCTCCGGGACACCTTCCAACACAAGCTGCTCCGAGAAACCTGAGTGGTTGGGAGGCGAGACATGTTGAGAGCAACAAATGCGACGACAATATTCAAGGTTCAGCAGATTCGAGAAAAACCATGGGGGCAAGAAATCACCTCATCGAAAGCTACTGCTGCCAAGAACATGTAGGGAGGCCCGCCCGTCGACGTGAAACGCCTTTCGTTCCTTGGGGGGGTCGATGCGCGATGTTTCTCTCAGACGAGCGTCGCTACAACGTTAGCGATATATTCTTGGAATAGAGAGCTGTAATGGTATTTAACCCCTTCCTTCAGAATCAATCACCTTAGAGCTGTGTGGAACACACCCTAGAATATATCTGAACGGAAGCAATTCTTTTCTATCAGAATCATGCAGGAGGAGATAAAGCATCTTTGATTTTAAATTTGATTTCTGTACTTTTGGTATGGACCACATCTTCAACTGAGCTTGACGAACTCGTGTTTTCTCAACACGGAAAATTTGACTCAGACACGGTTAAAGATGTTGCAACACAGCAGTATGACAACACTTCCAACACCTGTTTCCATGTATATCGTCCAAGGCCTCTAGAAACGCCAAAATGCATCCTTAGCAAAGATGAATTTGTGGCGCATAAAGGGGGGGGTGATGTGGATGACAGGTGTAGAAGTGCTGTAACCATTGTTGTTGCACATACAAAAGTAGGACCAAGATACGATCCGAACGGAGGATCTTACTGATGGTTGATCAGCAAGAGACCCGACTGTGGATGCGTCCCTCTTGGCGCCACCTGTGGAGCTTGGGAATCCGAGACCCTCGGGCTTGGTCTCCCTCGCCCCGTCGGCGGCACTCTCTTTCTTGTTTCTCTCTTCTGAGACCCTCTCCTCTCTAAATCTCGACGAAGAGAACTGACAGCCCTTAGTAGTGGGAAAAGACTACTGCGACCTGGGCCTTCCCCCCTAACGAGGGAAGCCTGTGTCCTCACTACATTATAACTAATATTACGCGGGATTTCCTTCGCCCACGAAACTTCTCTAACAACTGGTGTCTTTTCATCAGCTGCGGTTCCCCACCTTAAAAACAAAGAAACCAACTCGGCGGATAAAATCAGAAAAGGCACATGGGTGCGAAAAATACCCAAAACATCCGAACCGAAAAGACCATAACATGAAGTAACGAAATCGTGAAGGGAAAATCACAAACGATCTCGCACGAATGAATAGATCGACTTGAGAAGGGGGGCTACGATGAGATCGAGTATTGAAATGCAAACACAAAAAATAAGAAACGAAAACCGAACCTGCAAAAAGCTAAGACGACACGGAAAACCGTCAAGGGTCGACCAAATCTAGGAAAGCAGGGCAAAAGGGGGTTTCCGGGAAACGTAAACAACGGCCAAAGAAAAGGACAGGAACCAACGCCAAAAACACACGTTCGCATGTCACGATACAACGTGCTTGCGATCGGGGTGGGGCGAGGAAAATAATCCTACTCGTACTTCAAGTCCAATTGCATGAAGGAAAATGCCAAATAAAGTAGCAAGATGGGACACGATGGCCGTGGCATGCAATACAAGCACTGGCAGAACGTTGGACCATAAAGTATGCAAAGCAAGCCATAGGGGGGGGAGTTAAACGATGCACAAAGTTGAGGATCACCGCAACGAATGACTAACCTAGGTCACATTGAGGATAGGGAAAGGGAAGCGAAAACTTTCGACAACCGACCGAGAAGTGACAAACGGGGGCGAGAAAGTACGCAACACAAAAGGAAGCGCCAGACTCAAAGGGATTGAGAGGGCGAGCGGAAAGCATAAAGACGCAATAGTCAGTCTCGAAATAATCGAGAGGGCGAGCTAGAAACATACCGAAGCAATAGCCAGTCTCAAAAATAGATCGAGAGGGCGAGCTAGAAACATAAAGAAGCAATAGCCAGTCTCAAACTATATCGAGAGGGCGAGCGAGAAAACACAAATACGTACATAAACACAAACATGTAACAGACAAACAAATACATATACATATAGGTCTAAACACATAAAACAAATGCAACAGTCCTATCGGCCAGGGGCAATAATATCCGTACCACACGATTCGTCTACATTGCGCAAGATACCTCGCATGAAGGGACTACGTCGGTGCAGCTGAAGGCACCAAGAACCACAAACAGCTCCCAAAGCTGTCGTGTAGCGCGAAGGGGGGAGGGTGATCTTGACAGGTCCGGGGTCATCCAGGAAGCGAACGAAGAAGACGTTTGTAGTTGGAGTATGTCCGGAGATTTTCCCTGGCCACCATAGCGCGTCTTGAGCCTTGTACCAGAAGTGTGCGCCAACAGGCAGCACTGTGTTGCGAAAACGGCGGGCCCAAACATCGCGGGGAACATATTCGTGCACAGGCGACGAGGACCGCTCGCCTTTGATGCGAGAGAGACAGTTCACTTTGCGCTGCGCCGATGCGCATGCGACGATACAGACGGTTAGTCTGTCGGTGTTGGTCGGGTGTACCAGACCAATACAGAAGAATCTGTTATTAGGAGTGTTGGAGGTCCATTTCTCGTTCCCAAGAGGGGCCCATAAGACCTTTCCAGTGGGTCTCGTACATGACTGCGTTGACGCCGCCACGTCCTCGAACCGACTGGTGTCCCGTGATTTTCTCAACCTCGAGCCTGCGGACAGGCGCCGAAACATCGTCCGCGGTAACATTGTACGGCGGAGACTTCGTCGTGTAGTTGTTGAGAACATACTGCGTGAGACCTGCAGGCAAAAATCGAGGCATGTTGGCACTATCGTGTGGGTTCGCACAAGGTTTGCAACGAGCGACAGAAACTCGGCGCTTGGCATCCACTCCGGGCATATCGGAGGGAAGATCCAAGTACAGGAGCTTGTCAGCCACCGGTCTGCCATCGGGGGCCTTGTTGCAAGGACCGACTGCGAGGACTTTAAAAGGACCTGTCCAATTCAGGGACAGCTTCTTTTTGAGTACGTGGGAGTCAACGTCCGCGCGAGCCTTGGAAGTGAATTTGGTACCTTGCCGGATGGTAGCCAAATGGTTATAGACCCACACGCAACCACCGGTAGCGTAAACGGGTAGTTTGTGTAAGGCATCAGACAGTTTCGAGTTCCGTCTTTCCATACGGGAAACTGTGAGTGCGTGTTGTTCACGCACTAGCTCGTAAGAACGCCGTTGCCGATCGGCGGCCAGGTTGCAATACTCGCGCTGATCGCGTGCAAGCGACTGGTGACCACGAGCGTAAATGTTGTCAAAAACGGTCAGTGGAAACCGAAGGCGCGCCATATACACCTCATTTGGCGCCAATCCTGTGGCAGCGCTAACGGAGTTGTTGTATGCAAATTTAACATGAGGGAGATGGGCATCCTAATCATCTCGNTTTCCATACGGGAAACTGTGAGTGCGTGTTGTTCACGCACTAGCTCGTAAGAACGCCGTTGCCGATCGGCGGCCAGGTTGCAATACTCGCGCTGATCGCGTGCAAGCGACTGGTGACCACGAGCGTAAATGTTGTCAAAAACGGTCAGTGGAAACCGAAGGCGCGCCATATACACCTCATTTGGCGCCAATCCTGTGGCAGCGCTAACGGAGTTGTTGTATGCAAATTTAACATGAGGGAGATGGGCATCCTAATCATCTCGTCGTTCGTTCACAACCATAGCCAGCATCTGTGCCATGGTGTGGTTCACGCGCTCAACTCCTCCGTTGCCGCTAGGATGGTATGCGCTGGTCGTAATTTTTCGGACGCGTCGCAGTTTCACGATGGCAACCGAAAGTTTGGAGCAAAACTGCAATCCGTTGTCAGAAAGAATGCTGAGGGGGCATCCCCAAACCGGCATGTATTTATTGACAAGGACGTCGGCGGTACCTTCGGCTGTGAACTCGGCGTCAGTCACTGCGTACATATTGGCCTCCGACTGAAGCGGTCAGTGAATAGCGAAATATACGAGAAACCTCGCGGAGTGGTTGGAAGCGAACCAAAACAGTCGACGCTAATCGCGACCCCTGGTGCCGAAGGCAGAGGGATCGTGAGAATTGGCCAGCGAATAGTCTGGCGCGCAGGTTTGCGGGCCTGACATTTCAAACATCGCCGAATCCACCAACGAGTACTAGTACTCATCCCAATCCACCAGTAAAATCTCTCTAGCAAGCTAAGCGTGCGAGCGGTACCAAGGTGGCAGAGGGCGTTGGCATGACAAGCTTGCATGACCCAAGGTCGCATGAACATGGGCACGTAAATACGAGTGGGTTCGTCATTTAACAGACGTGCAGCTCGTCCTCCGGGACGGTCAGAAGAGACCGGGGGCTTGGTATGCTTTCGTACCAAGAGGCATAGGCCATCGTCAGTGACGAGGCGTCCTTTATCTGCAAGCTCTCTAATATCCTCCAACGATGGTCTATGCCTGGAGTGATATGACACTACGGCAAATAAATCGACAGGTAGACTCTGAGGGCGTTTGAGGAGAGTGTAGCGGATGGTGGCTTCACACACCGGCTCTTTCTGCTGTTCCCGCGCCCAATCGGCACGCGTTCAGCGTTCGACGGACTCACGGAATTCTAACTCTGCAGGATTGAGGACCATGGAGCCACAGCGGGCGTTGCCTTACCAGCTGTAGCAGTCNCTTCACACACCGGCTCTTTCTGCTGTTCCCGCGCCCAATCGGCACGCGTTCAGCGTTCGACGGACTCACGGAATTCTAACTCTGCAGGATTGAGGACCATGGAGCCACAGCGGGCGTTGCCTTACCAGCTGTAGCAGTCGGTTGTGACAAACCCAACAGAGGACCCGTAGGGGCGTCGGTAACCGTCTCCGGCGGCGCGATGGGCACCGTAGGGACAGGTTCGACAACAGGCTCAAGCGCGGTGACGGCTGGCGGCACTCGTGTTTGACGACGATAAGCGCCTGCAGCGGCAGCTGCACGCGAAGCGTTTAGGGGGATCGACAAACCAGGACCGAAACCGTAGTTTACATCGGGTTGAGGCTGACCCGCAGCAGCCGCGGTTCTGCGACCTGTTCGAGTAGAGATCAGTTCCGACGGATGAATGCGATGCGGTTGCAACCGAGAGGTCGAAGGCGGCGGCAATGAGTCGGCGGCACCCAAACGATCAGAGTGGGAGCCGGCGTCGACAGTTGCTGTCGCAGGAGACACGACAGGGGGCAACCGAGAGTTCTCGTCGGTGGTCTGTGTGTCGTGGATAGGGAGCGCAAAAGCAGCTGCATCAGTGTGGGGTCGCTCAGACGGTCCGTAAACGGTAGCGGTGTCCCTAATGTTTGTCGTTGTGCCGGGGAGAAACTTGCTGCTGTAGGCGTGAGTCCTTCCCGAT